GGGAGCACTGGCACTACGTCACTTCTTTTGCGCCGAGTGTGGTGACCGTTCAATCAAGGCATGACACCACATTGAAAAGGACGGCTATGCTTGTGCATCAACTGTCAAACCAAGCGCACAGAGAGACGAGCCCCCAAATGCAAAAAGTGCCAGCGTGCTGTCATTGGGCAGTATATACAAGCTCTGGGCGGGGAGTGGCATGATGATTGCTTCCGTTGTGCTGTTTGTAATGGGGGGTTTGACGACGGACAAGTATTCCCCCAGGTAGATGGAGAAAGGACATTAGTTCTTTGCACTGGCTGTCGGGCTAGGCAGCTTAAGGCATAAGAGTGTCTAGGTAGGGTAGTCAGAGACCCTGCAAAAGTTGAAAGACTTGGTCCATGTTGTATGCTTTTCATTGTCTGATGTCATATCGAATGCCATTTCGTGTTCTGCACTAATTTTTCTGGTTCCGCATAGTAAGAGCCGCACCTTGGATGGGATGAGCTTTGGGTTCGCAGATTGTCAATGACCAGAATTTGATTCCCGTGTCTAGTTGATCTTTGGTCGAATTTCGCAGGAATGCGATGTCCTTCGGTCCTAATAGTAAACCCCATGCCTTCAACACCACTAACGACCCTGTGCTTAAACTGCCAGTCCGTATTTTCGCCATGGGGGTGGCGCATCAACAACCACCAACTTGTTCTTGGTACACCTCAAGCGTGTCGCCATCGGCCATTTCGAGCTATGCCGTGGGTGTCAGCATGCTTCGGTTGGTGAGGATGAGAGCGGCAAATGCGGAAACTTACTGCTGAAGGTGTATCTGTGGGTTGAACTCGTTGTCCTTCAAACACAAAACGAACCGTGTTGAATGCTTTTCCTTGTCGGTCGCAGAATGCATTCATGAGCTTCTCCAGTTTTGTCGATTTCTTGATCTTGAAGAAAACCTCATTGTTGTTGTCTGTCACCTTGATGTTGAGGTGCTCAACAGCTTCAGCGTCTGGAGCTGGCACCGAAGGACTGCCGTTCTCATGCTCAGCAGACATCGTGGCCTATAATTCGGGAGGATATCAGGCAATTGGTTTGTATCTGCAAGACCACAACATGGTCAGCAGAGCGTTTATAGGAAATCGTGAAGTGGAGCGTCCGCCTGGAACTAGGAGCATGGAGGACGAGAGATCGTGGGGAAAGCGGTGGGTGGCGATGGGCCAAGTTGACTGACGGAGTTGATCAAAGGTAGCCTCGAACTTCAGGGTATCATGCGCGCGTTGTTGGCGATGAAAGCTGGCAGATGCAGTGGCTGTTGGGAGTTCTGATGCGGGTTTGGGAGCCTTCTCTACAAGGCGATGATCGCGATAAGGTGAAGTAGGGACCAAAGCCGGCTGGCGAGGCGGGGCAAGAGTGAGTAAGGTAGGTATTTCAGATAACTAGGTATCTAATAATGTACCTGACTGGAAGGTTCCTTGCTGTCAGGAAGTGGTCCCAGCAGCCTCGATAACGTGATAAGGTCCCTACAAGATCAATGTACCTAGGTACAGTATGGGTGGGTGCTGATACCTAGACCTCACAAGACCCACAATTTCCTTGCCGACATTGCAAAGGCTTGCATGGGGTAAGTGGCCAGGTCTGGGCACTCTTCTTCGTCGAAAAAGAGATTCATTGCGACCCTATAATGTGCCAAGTTACGTCTCGGGTATATAGATGAGAGGTGCCTTTGTCATTCATGATCTACTAGAGCAGCCTCGCCCGGCTGAGTACATACCTGTGCAACCATGTTCCTATGATGAGCAATGACGTGACTCCCCAGCTCCTGGGTCATTACGTGCTCCCTAGCCCCGTTCGGTTTGAGAAAAGAAACCATCTTCATTCGACCGATTGGATTCTACGCCCTCGTTCTTCCTTACACAATTGTGATTGCTATAGAGTTTGGGGAGCAACGAAGAGAACGTCATTCCCAACTACAGAAGCAAAAGAAGATGGTAAGTAATGCAAAGGATCCACTGCTGTCTCGAGGTCGCAGTAAATCTTTACTTGGACTCATTTTTTTTTTCACATCAGACATTACAAGCAGATCTGCGAAACAACCCGCCATGCCATGCACGTGCGGTAAGCCGAGACTATTCCGTTTAAACTTGGTTGGACCTTCTGAATAACACATGCGCCGCTCGTCGTAGTGCGAAATTCAAAGTATGTACACCGATGGACGAGGAAGCAGACTAGCAGACCATCAAAGACTGATCATGAGTCTTCAGACTGCCTTACCAGAAACGGCTTCAACGACGCCAAATGCCAGGCACACGTTTTGTCGCTGTATCAGTGCTGCGAAGCATTCTATCGGGAGCAAGGAGATTCTGCAGTGTCGGCCAGTTGTCCGAAAGCCGACCTCTTAAGGCTCAAGAAGAAACAAATGGCAGCTCGAAAACAACAAGCATGAGCGGCGAGCGACACCTCATCGCAACGTCGTAATTTATCATGTGCCCTACATCTGAACCGCGCGTCCGCCAGAATTGAGAAAATCTGGCAACTTTTAGAAGAGGGAAATGTACGAAAGTACCATCGATCTGGGCCATCAATGAGCACGCAAGAGATCCTCGAGGGACCTGAACAAGCATTGAATACCTGTTCCGAGACTCTAATATGAAAGCCGTAAAGACATTGTATGAGGAAGAGAAAGGAATCAAGATAGGTGCGAGCAACAATCGCCAGTACTTATAAAAACCTTTGTTAGTGGGGCATACGCACGGGCCAATCGGCTCATCAGTCTTCACAAGGCCCACAATTCGGTGCTGGATTCCTGAGACCGAGTGAGGTACTGGAGTGGATACCCTACACGACCTTTGCTCTTCCATCTTGGTAGTCGCGTCAACCCCAGCCAAGTCGCAAATCCCCGAATAACGACGAAGCCCAGGCAGGCCACTCACCACACATTGCCTAACTCGGAACCAAATCTGTGCGCGTACGCTATCTCCCTCCGTCTCGTTACGACTTCCTGGACATCTTCCGTGTCCCACCACTATCACTTACCGGTCCCGAACGTCAGAGGACAGCGTTTTCGACCCGACAGTCGCAACACGGCACGACTATCGACAGCACGCTGCGATCGGCGCATTGCAACGTCAAGCCAGGCTCTGGAGAAGCTGGCAGCGCCCTGGTTGTATCGATCAGAACTCTAAAGGTTAGCCCGAGTTCCCTCTGCTGGTTGTCCATCCCCTGCGTTGGCTGCATATCTGCTCGACTGCAACACTCCTCTTTCCTCAGCGGCGCAACTGGGTCTTTCCCGGCCAATATCTCATTCACAGGCCCCTCTTTTCACAGGCCCCTCTTATACTAGGATATCAACTGATGGTTAAAATCGCAGAACAGAAAATCGATTACCGCGCCTCTCAGCTTCGGTGCAAGGATACAGCTTCAAGTAATTCGCAACCCCGGATAAAACAGAGGGTCACAACACAATGGCCGAGAGTGATTGTACTCTTGAGGTAGGCTTTGAGGCAGAGCATTTCGCGAATGCCTTAGATGACTGTCTCGGTGGTCCGGGGTCAAATCAGCAGAAGAAAGAGCGGGTGCTGGAGCTTGTTCAAAGGTTCTACAACCATGCAGCAGAACGTCTTGACCAACTACGGCATCGTGGGTCCGGAAACCTCACTGATAACGAGATGGATATGGATGATGCAGAAGACGAGAGTGATCCTGCAGCAATCATCTCGCAACTTCGCAAGTGGGAATCAGAGCTTCAGACTTGGGATCTGCTACAACGACTTGCTACGCTCAGATACCCTCAGACCAAGTCGGCGGCAGCCACTGGAGGCCTTGATGCGGAGCTCCATTCTCGAAAGGATGATCTGTGGGGCTCATTCGTTGCGCAGGCACGATCGAACAGCAGAGAGAAAAACGGTTCTTGAGTGGGTGGG